TTCCTAGATATCCTTGTAACAAAGAAAGGGCAAACCCTTCCAGCCCCAAGAATTCTGTATATATGTGGGGGAGGAGGTCCCCATGTGCATTTTTACCTGGTTTTCATAGGGTATTCTAACTAGTTGTTCCTCTTTTCCACAGTCCTAAGCTTTTAACTTCTGCCCTTTTTAATGTTCCTATAATCTTATGAAATATCTCTTTTCCCTTGGGAGAGCCTAATGGAACCTGAGATATTATTTCTATAAATAACAGGGAGGTTAAGTAAACTGGAAACAGTTTCGCAATGGGATGGGAGTTGTTAAAAACAATTTGAAGGCTTATAAACACTATATTGAATTCTGCTGGTACAATGGTTAAGCCCTTGGCCACTCACCAAAAGATCAGTGTTTGGAACCTACCAGCTGCTCCATAAGAGAAAGATGTGGCAGTCAGCTTCTAGAAAGATTTTACAGCCTTGGTGACCATGTAGGGTAGTTCTACTGTATCCTACAGGGTCTTTTTGAGTCAGAATCAACTTACAACAATGGGTATATAAGCACTGTATTTCATTCAAAGATTCAGAACTGCCTTACCTCGTGCTGCTATATAAAAGAGTGCACCAATAGTTTTCATCAACAGAAATTTATTTGCTAAAAGTTTGTTGTAAAGTGTCGTTGAGTCCGTTTCAACTCATAGGGACCCACATAGAGTTTCTGAGGAGCGGCTGGTGAGTTTGAACTGTAGACCTTGCTGTTCAAACCGACCTTGAGGTTCAGTGCTTATCCTATGGCACCATACTAGTTTAGGAGGCTGAAAGTCTGAATTCAGGATGCTAGTTCTAGGGAAGGCTTTCCATCTTTGTCAGTTCTGTAGGAAGGTACTTCCGCCCTTGAATTTCTGCTCCTGAGCAATCTTCATTTGGTTTAGCATCTCTCTTCTCCATTTCTGCTTCTCTTAAACTTGTTTAATCTCTTTTATATCTCAAACAAGATTGACTCAAGACACACTCTACACAAATCCTGTCTTATCAACATAGCACAGGCAAATCATTCTGAAATGTGATTATAACTGCAAGTGTGAACCCCCAAAACCCACTGTCATCAAGTTGATTCCAAACCATAGGGATCCTGTATAGGGTTTCGGAGGATGGAAATCTTTACAGGAACAGAAAGTCTTATCATTCTCCCTCAGAGCGGCTGGTGGGTTTGTACTAAAAATTAGAGCACATATTTTGGGGGGATCAAATTCAATCCATAACATCTTTTCAAATTTTAACAGCTCCAACCAATGACCTGTCAGTGTTTAAATGGCAGGCTTTTCTCACAAAATAATAGCGCATCTTACAATCAATGGTATCTATCTTAGGTTTGATCAGTGCCATTACACAATAAAATAAACACAAGCTTACTTGTGCTTACATACTAATCTGTAGCGAACAACATATTTATTAGGTAATCTGTCCCATAAAGTGAAAACCCTTATGGGCTGGGTTACCACACCCACTGCTGAGTTGATTCTTATGGATCCTATGCTGTTAAGTGCTGCAGTCTGTTCCAACTCATAGTGACCCTGTATAGGGTTTCTGTGGAGCAGCTGGGGAGCTTGAACTACCGACTTGTGGTTGCAGTCTAGTGCTGATCCTACAGTGCCACACCAGGAGTTGATCCTATAGGACAGAATAAAACTGTTCAGTACAGTTTCCAAGTCTGGAAATCTTAACAGAAACAGACCATCTCATCTTTCTCTCATGGAATGGCTGGTGGGTTTGAACCAGTTTCCGCTAACAACCTCAATACTTAAACCACTGCACTATCAGTGCTCCTTTAGGTTTCCAGGATCTGTTTATTAAGTCTGGTTGGCATGGCAATCACAGGGTATTGTCTTGTAAAGCAGGAATTGGGATTAGAATTCTAATGTTGAGACTTTTCACACTGAAAGGAGATAAAAGTCCAAGTGTGAGGTAGGACCCTTCAGATTTGATAGCTCTCCAGATATCCAAGCCTTGGCTTGGACTCTCTCATACTAAGCTGACAACTAGCTTCACAAAACCCAAGAGGAAATAAAAGGTGCCTGGAATCCTATAGGGTAGCTGTGAGTCGACTCGATGACAACGGGCTTTTACCGAATCCTGTCTAGTTTATCATCGCGTATCCTTTTCTTAATATCTAACTGTATCTTTTATCCAAGTTAGGTAAAATGTTGCCACCTAAACTTCTGCAAGGAGCTCTGGTAGCTTAGTGGTTAAGAATGGGCTGCGAATCGCAAGGTCAGCAGTTGGAATCTACCAGCTGTTCCCCGAGAGAAAGATGAGGCCTTCTGCTCCCGTAAAGATTTACAGTCTTGGAAACTCTGTACAAGGTCACTAAGAATCTGAATCGACTCCACGGTACTTAACAACAACAAGCAACTTCTGCAGAGCCACTGACAAGCAGGGTGATCTTGTGCTCTTACTATATCAGTGTAGTATGTATATTTACATACGAAACAGTTAGGACATATATTAAATAAAAGGTTTCTTCTCAGGGGTGTGATCAGTAGAGATTTAAATATTTCTGTATTATTTTAATTTGTGAAATCACTTACTTTTTTGATCAGAAAAGTAAAAATATTCAAATGAAACAATACAAGAAAATGTTTAAAATGAAGCGGGGCGACGACTATTGATCTTTTTACTCCCTTTTCCCCATGCTTCATGAATTAAAAATTTTTAATAAGCATAAATTACTTTGTACTTATATAAAAGACTTCCCTACCAAAGCCTAAATTCTTCAAATGAAAATAAATGTACAAATCCTTCAACACTGCATGGGAAACATAGAATTTGTTTCTAAATTACATTTATACCCGGTTTGAATAATTTACATATTCAAATAAGTTTGGTAGGAATAAACTGGCCGCCTGCTGTCTGGTAGATACACCTGTGGCGGCCTTTCACATTTGTTACTCCATTTGATTTTTAAAAAAAGAAAAAACTTTTATCAAAAGTTTTCAAGAAACAGGTAACTTCCTAAATATGCATTCCCTGGAAAAGAAGTAACCCCACGATCTAGCGCCTCCGTTCTCACGTGACCCGGAAACTGAAGGAAGCCATCTTAAACATCGCCTCATAGAGCAAACTACATCTCCCAGAATCCTTGTTCTTTGCGTCGTGCTGGCACTTTTATTGGCTGGGTCTCAGAGCTGAACCTGTAGCCAGGCGCCATCTTTGACGCTGGCAGTCTTGGGTTTCTGCTGGTGTTGTTGCTGCGAGGACGGCGGGTGGCAGCGGCTAAGAAAGAAGAAAGACGTGGCAGCAACCGGGAGTCGGGGATAGTGTCGTCGGTTCGGTAAAGTTCTGTTCTCTGGTAACTAGACCCATTTTTTAATTCCCGGGTGGCTTGGGGCCGGGGAGGTGGGGAGAGGGCGAGGGGAGTGGCAGCGGCCTCCCCTCGCCCCTGGGTCGCGGCCTAGTCGGGGAAGTCAGAGTGGGTCTTTCAGTCCCGCCGTAACGACCCCCGCTCCCCACCTCCCGGCTACTGCCCTCGCCGGGGCGGGCTGAGAGCCCGGGGCTCCCGCTCACTTTTCTCACTCCCCCGCCCCCACTCTCATCCCCACCCACCCCACTCCCACGGCGCCTGCTCGGTTCCCAGCCCACCTTCCTCCCCTCCCCCACATCCGGTGGCAGCCAAAGTTGTAGGATCCCCGCGCCGCCCACGGAGGCAGGCGGGTCTCCAGACTCCCAGAGAGAAACTGATCGCTTTCAGGGCCCCCCCACATTACCTAAATCATAATGAGTGCCAGGAACTGAATTTACTTACTCTCGTTCCTCTCCAGGATCCCAGTACATTCAGAAATCTACCGATCTTATTCCGGTATTCTACACCCCTTCCCTAACCTAATTTCACCCCCACCCCCAGCCCTCACCATCGGAGTCGAGAGCCACAGGGACACTTCCGTTCTCCTTGTAGGATTGATGAAACAGTAAATGAAGAACCCCCCCCCTCCCCCAAATTCCCATAATCGGTGCGGAATCCTATGGGGAAAATTTATATTCGCATCTTGCAGCCCTTGGTTCAGAACCTTGAGAAGGAAGCTGTGGAGCTAGTGATAGAGATGCTTTTTAGGGTATGTAGACGCTGGGGGCAGGGGAGGGATCAACCAAGCAGGAATGGAAGTGGTTTAGAGCTCATGTTTCAGTTTTCGCTGCTCCTATAGAGTAACTTGTGAGTTACTTATTTACAGCCTTTAAAGCTGCTCCAGTCTAAAAATGTCTGAAACCTAAAAGTTGCATTAATTTTTGATGCAAACAGTAGCATAGAAATGCAGTTTGCCACCTTGTTTTATCAGTGTATTTTCAGGGCCATTTTTCAGCCATCCACATGTTTAAAACTTGTATTGCGTTTGACTAGAGCAGAAGTGCCTCAGCTGGCGTTTGCTGTCAGTGACCAGTATGTGGAGTCTGCTTTAACTTTGCAGAATTGACTTTTACTGGGTTTTGTTGGCTAATCACAATCCTAAACGATGACTGTTAAAATGATGCACTATGTTTTTGTTTAAATGAAATTTCCTGAAAATACTTCGTTTCGGAATTAAGAGAAATCAAAGTTGTTGTCATGAGGCATCATAAAATATGCATTTAAAGAGCTGAGGGCAGACAGCAGTTCTTGATGAAACAGAAAGAACATAGACCTAGGATTTGGAAGACCTGGCTTCTTGCTGCTTTTGACCAACTACATGACTCTGGGGAAGTGGGCCTCAGTTTTTTTTTCTATAACATGAGGAGATTGGACTGTTTGAATTCAGAACTCAGGAAGTTGGAAGGGATCTTGAAGCCCTCTAAGAAAGAGTTTGGGAATGTTCTCCATTGCTGTCACTTTTCCTCCAAAAATAACCTGGCTTGGAAGTCATTGGACCAAAGGGAACTTGACTCCCCATAGAAATTGGAGAAACGGTAACCTAAGTAGAGAGCAACAGCTGTATTTCTGCTGGAGTAGTAAACCTACTACAAGATTCTGGTACAAGTTTTGGAGACATAAAGAGAATGAGTGTATGTACCTTAAATGTGCCCATTTCCTCGGTCTCTTCTGGCAGAAGATGCAGCACTTTTAGTGGTGCTGGGATTCTGGGATGTGTTCCTATTAATTCTCATACTGACGAAGAAGATGTGGTAGAGGGAAAGATGGTGGCTGAAGGAATTGATAAAGAGGCAAAATTACCCACTAAAAAGAAAAGAAAGAAGGGTTTGCGGATTAAAGGAAAAAGGCGCCGAAAAAAATTGCTCCTTGCCAAAAAATTCAGTAAGGATTTGGGTTCTGGGAGGCCTGTTACAGATGCTCCTGCTTTGTTAGCTTCCAGTGCCCCTGAGCAGGATGAAGAAAGTCTTTTTGAAAGCAATATAGAAAAACAGATCTATCTACCTAGCACAAGAGCCAAGACCTCCATTGTGTGGCATTTCTTTCATGTTGACCCACAATACACCTGGCGAGCTATTTGTAATCTCTGTGAAAAAAGTGTCAGCAGGGGCAAACCAGGCAGCCATCTTGGTACATCTACTCTTCAACGGCATCTGCAGGCAAGGCATTCACCCCACTGGACCAGGGCCAACAAATTTGGAGTCACTAGTGGGGAGGAGGATTTTACCTTGGATGTGCCTTTATCTCCCTCTTCTGGAAGCAATGGAAGTTTTGAATATATCCCTACTGATCCTTTAGATGATAATAGAATGAGTAAGAAGCGAGATAAATTAGCATCTGATGCCCTGAGGGCAGAGAGAGGGAGATTTCTCATCAAAAGTAACATTGTCAAGCATGCCTTAATTCCTGGAACAAGAGCCAAGACATCTGCAGTTTGGAATTTTTTTTACACTGATCCTCAGCACATCTCAAGAGCTGTGTGTAATATATGTAAAAGAAGTGTGAGCCGGGGGAGGCCAGGGTCTCATTTAGGAACTTCAACACTTCAACGACACCTACAGGCCACACATCCCATCCATTGGGCTGTTGCCAACAAAGATAATGGTGCTGTAGGAAGTGGATTAGATGAGGCTGAGACTGATAGAAGTGATCTCTTGAGTGAACCTCTTCATGGAGAGAAGTCTACAAGCAGCCAAGATTTAACAGCTGAGGATCTCAGTGACTCTGATTCAGATGAACCTCCAGTGTTAGAAGTTGAAAATAGAAGATTGGAGAGTCCCATGACTGTGACGGAGCAAGACAGTCTGATAAATGTGCAGGAGAGGGAAAGACCATATTGTGAAAATTCAGCCTCAAGTCAAATTAGTCAAGCAATTATCCAGATGATTGTAGAGGATATGCATCCTTACAACTATTTCTCAACTCCAGCCTTTCAGAGATTCATGCAGATTGTGGCCCCTGATTACAGGTTGCCGTCAGAGACTTACTTTTTCACTAAGGCTGTACCTCAGTTATATGACTGGGTCAGAGAAAAAATTTTCTTAACTTTGGAGAATGTACAAAGCCAAAAGATTCATCTGACTGTTGACATATGGACCCACGACCCATCCACTGACTATTTCATTGTGACCGTACACTGGGTCTCTTTGGAAACTGTACCTTCTAATAATAATGGCAGGATCCCAAATTTGAGAAAATGGGCAGTGCTTTGTGTTACAGGTTTGGCCAAAGATTGTTTGATAACCAACGTTTTACAAGAATTAAATGACCAGATTGGTTTATGGCTTTCTCCAAATTTTCTTATCCCTAGCTTCATTGTTTCTGACCATTCTTCTAGTGTGGTAAATGCAATTAAAGATGGTGGGTTTACCCATGTGCCCTGCTTCCTGCATTGCTTAAATGTAGTCATTCAGGACTTTTTCTGTGAGCACAAAAGCATTGAGAATATGTTAGTGGCTGCTAGAAAAACCTGCCATCATTTTAGTCATTCAGTCAAGGCTCGTCAGATTCTGCAAGAGTTCCAAAATGATCACCAGCTTCCATGGAAGAATTTGAAGCAGGATGAAACTGGCCATTGGATCTCTACCTTTTACATGTTAAGGTGGCTGTTAGAACATTGCTACTCAGTTCACCATAGTCTTGGCCGAGCCAGTGGAGTGGTGCTCACCTCCCTTCAGTGGGCTCTTATGACTTATGTGTGTGATATTCTTAAGCCATTTGAGGAGGCCACTCAGAAAGTGAGTGTGCAGACCACAGGATTGAATCAGGTGCTACCCTTAATACATCATCTGCTCCTTTCCCTTCAGAAACTCAGAGAAGATTTTCGAGTCAGAGGTATTACTCAAGCCCTCAATCTGGTGGACAGTTTAGCTCTGAAACTTGAAACTAACAGTTTACTGAGTGCCATGTTCAAATCCAAGCCCTGTATCTTGGCTACTTTGTTAGATCCTTGCTTTAAAAACAGTTTGGAAGACTTTTTTCCTCAAGGTGCTGATTTAGAAACGTATAAGCAGATCCTTGCAGAAGAGGTTTGTAATTATATGGCATCTTCACCAGAGGTCTGCCATATTGCAACTTCAGAAGCTTCTGGTGCCTCAGCTACAGGAGGAGCCAATTCATTTACCTCATCAACAAAAGAAGGCCCCTCCAGTTCAGGCCCCATTGATAGCTCAGCCACAGATACTGTTGCCATTGGAAGCAAAAGCTTCATGTTTCCTTCCGCTATAGCAGTAGTGGATGAATACTTCAAAGAGAAGTATTCAGAAATCTCAGGAGATGATGACCCTTTGATTTACTGGCAGAAGAAGATGAGCATATGGCCAGCTTTGACCCAAGTTGCCATTCAGTACCTAAGCTGCCCCATGTGTAGTTGGCAGTCTGAATGTATCTTTACCACAAATAGCCACTTTCATCCAAAGCAGATCATGAGCCTGGACTTTGACAATATAGAACAGCTGATGTTTTTAAAAATGAACTTGAAAAATGTTAACTATGATTATTCTACATTGATTCTGAGTTGGGATCCTGAGAATGAAATTGTTCAAAGCAGTGAAAAAGAAATATTATCTTAACTCTTTTTTTTCTCCATTTAAAATTAGCAACTTATTACTATGTTACTGTATCCTGATTGCTATATTTGTTACAGTCTTTAATCTAATTACTTAATCTATAAAAACCAATCTGGGGAAAACTGAAAACAAAAAAGGACTGAAGATTGCTCAGATGCAGTATAAGTTACTAAAATGAAGATTGCAGATTTCCCAGTAGTCATTCAATAGAGCTAACACTCGAAATTTTGTTTTTATCAGTTGAGGGAGAAAAGATATTTTTAACTGGATTAAAAAGTGCAGCATTGAAAGGCCTTAGATATATTTCTGGCTGGTAGACTGAACAGTTAGTAATTGGTGTGAAGTTAAAATATCCCTTGTATGGGGAGTGTGATTACCCTAAACTGATAGAATGAGAATAAATCTGCTAACTGAATGGGTAGGTGGCTTGAACCCACCAGCCGCTCTGTGGGGAAAAGTTGTGGCAGTCTATTTCCTTAAAAATGACAGCCTTGAAAATTCTGTAGAGAAGTTCCACTCTGTCCTATAGGATTGCTATGAGCTAGAATCAACTCAGTGGCAATCGACTTGTTTGTTTTTCATATGCTAGTGCTTACCCACAACTTCAGCAAAAACAAAATCCATGAAATTGTTTTATATTTGGAAATTTCCAAATGCCTCCTCATACTGGTCAGCTTTGTAATTTCAACTCGGATGATAAGAGTTACCCCTTGTATTTATTTTAGGATTGGGTCTGTATAAAACTGGGAAACTTTGGAAAACAACGAAGAAACTTACATTTATTCCATTTTAACTTTTATGCAGTAGTGTTAAAAAAAATTGTATAGGTAGAGTTAAATAGTTAATGGTAAATGACATATAAAAAGAAGCTTATAAAAGATGGGAAGAATTGAATGGGAATTAGAATGAAAGCCCCATGAATATTCTTTGACAAATCCAGTATGCATTTCCCAATGACTAGTTCTCTAACTTTAAATGATTTTAAATGTCCTCTTTTTTTTTTTTTTTTTTTTTTTTTAATATATTGAATGACCCTTAGTACTGTATTCTTGGCTAACTTTGAGATTGTTTTGGCCACTGTATTTTTAACTAAAAAAAGCAGTGAATATTTTCATGTATTGGAGATCTTGCCTCACTGGTGAAATGAGGACACTGAATGATCTTTAAGATCACTTTCCACTTTGTTCAGCAAGTGAGTGGGAAGCCTGAAAATGATGGCTTTTAGTGAAAGTCTATTAAAAAGTTTCAGACTGAATAACTAATGTAAGATCCCAATTTTTCCTTTTTTTCATTTTAGATTTGGGGATATTCCCTGCCCAAAAAATTCCTGGAAAATTGACTAGTATTAAGTGTGAGTAAAAGGTGTCCACTTTTTTTTTTTTTTTGATTTTTGACTTTAGTTTTGTCTTGGATAGTATTTGGCAAGATTTAGCCTAGAAATTATGTAGTGTTTATTACATGAGAATCAGAATTGTTTGGTTACTGGGCTGGTTACAAAATTTAAAACTCATTTCTATGTATCAAAGTAGCTTTTTGTCTTTTTTTTTTTTTTTTTTTTAATTCTAAAATGGTAAATGTACCATTGTGAAAAGAAATTTCAACTCCAAAAGTTTACCCTTTACTAACAGAAATGAATGAGTGATTACAACATCTTTAGTTGTAGTCGTTAGTAATAAAAGAATTTTGGCAATAGGCTGCATAAGCAAGCCTTTGTAGGGCGGGCCAGTGTTTATATAAAAGAAGAAAAAGTATTCCCTTCGAGAAACATTTTCTGTGTTACAGTGCTGGTTCAGGATGGCTATAATGCTGCTCTGCCTTCTACAACTTGCTGCACCATTCTATAGTTATTCTGTAACTATACATTTCTATCTTTTTTGGTTAAACACACCCTGAGGAGCAGGATGTATACGTTCATCCATATTGTACACATTCATGTATGTGTCAAGATACACTTCATCTTTGTTTTATGGGCTGGGCAAAATTTAACATGTAACGTGTAACATTAATTCACCATCGTTTGATAAGAGTATGTTCACTATTTTTATAATGAACCCAAATCTTTTATAGTGTATTTTAAAAGGCAAAACATACCCAAATATTTTATTTCTACACAATTGTGTGTGTGTGTGTGTGTGTGTGTGTAAGCCAGTTTGTATCTATGTATATGAATATTATATACATAAAACACTATATTTTTACGTACCAATATGCTTTTATTATACAGATAATAAAGATGGGGGAAGGTTTCTGTTTTTTTCTTAATAGGTGAAGAAATCTTGAAGACCAGAAATTGGATCTTATTGAATTTTGGTGTTTTAAAATTTTTTTCTTTTACTATTTTCTTTTTAAATTATATTGTTCGGCTATGGAAGATGGATCTTTTTTCTTTTTCTTTTTTTTTTTTTTTTAAATAGCCCTTTGACTCTCGAGTTCATTTTGAAATGAACTTTTTTGTTGTTTTTTGGTTTTTGTTTTTGTTTTTGAGGAGATAACTAACTCTAGCTGTCTCCAGTCTGACAAGGTTACTGGAATGGACTTAATCTCCCCGTAGTTGGGAGATGTTTTAGAAGCACGTCCTGTGTTTGACTTGTGGCTGAGAGGTTTCCTTGGCAATGTGAGGAGGAAAATTCTTTCTGCCTCATTATTATTAATTCATGGATTGAGTGTTGGTTCGACCTACAGGAGTAATAGATTGGAACTCAGTGAAGACCCAGATGTTCCTGTTGAGATCAGCCAGCTAATGTAAGTGTGGAAATGAGTTTTGTTTTGTTTTTTTTCTCATTAAAGGGAAGGAGAGAACATTTTTATAATTTAAGGCGTATTTTTCTTTGACAAGTAAAGATATTAAAAGGCATTGTTAAGATATTTTTATAACAAACTTTTTTGTGTACATATGTGTCATAATGCGTGTACATTATTTTAAAAAAGGTAAAAATAACAGGCAATGTGAAAATTCCCCAGTAATTCCATCTCACCAGAGAAAAAGCACTGTTAATAGTTTTGTCAGGACATTGTTCTTTGTCCATACATAGCTCTGCCACATTTTTTTTTAATCACTACATGGATGGACCATTGTGCATGTGCCATGATAACATATCCCTCGTTGATAGACATTTGGGTTTTTAGCCATTACTTAAAAAACTAGTCCTATACTCCATAACAGCCCTTTATACGTATGCATGTAAATTTACTCTTTAGAAACAGTTCTTAGATTTGAGTTTGTGGAATTGTTATCTATTACTCTCTTTAAAAGGTTGTGCCAAGTTTACTAAACAACTAAAAAGATTGTGGTTTTATCATTTGTTAATAAAAGCACTAATACTTGGCTATGTTGTTGATGAGCTTTTTTTTTTAATTGAGAAAGCAAGGACAGTGCTTTCAAACCTAGCTTTTGACAATGGATAATCTAATATAATAAAAGCACAAATAGAAAAGTCTAAATAAATGGAATCTTATGAAAATTAAGGACTTTTGTTCATCAAAAGACTTTATAAGAAAAATAAAGAGATAAGCTACCAACTGGGAGAATAAACTTTTTATTGTGAATTGAATAAAGGTTTACAGAGCAGGTCATCTGTTTTACATCCATTAAATCACACATTTTGTTTCATATCATTGATGACAATCCATTCATCCCCTCTATGTAACAAGACTCATCCAACTTCCTCCCTGTGGTTCCTATTTACATTTCATCTGCCCCAACCCCTCTGAACCTTGTCCCCAGGTAAATGTCCCTTTTGATTTTACATGGTTTTGCTATGTAAATACCTTTTGTCTTTTTCTTCTTTAAACTTTTTATTGTCAATTGAATGAAGGCTTTACAGAGCAGATTATGTTTCACATTCAATAAATTATATTATTTGCTTCATTTAAATGATAGCAATCACCTCCATGTACCATCACTTAACAGTATTTAGTTCTGTTTACTTTGACTCTTGCATGCCCCCGTGTTTCCTGCTACCTTCATCTTCCTCTTCATCTCTTCCTCCCTCTTGTATATGGCCTACCCCCATCTCCCATGCTAACGTGTGCCTACCCTTTAGTCCGAATATTTTTCGCTCCCCTACCCCCATAACCAGAGTCCTGATGTGGTGCTGTGGGTTAATGCGTCAGGCTGCAAAGTGGTTTGAACCGCAAGGTTGGTGGTTGAAGCTCACCAGTTGCTCCTCGGAAACCCTATATTGACTGGGTTGCTGTGGGTTGGAACTGACTCGACAGTACTTAACAACAACAACAATCCCCATAACCATCATAAAATGTTTCTTTTATCGAGAAAACCTCTTCTTTTTACAGCAGTGGTCTTATATAATATTTGTCCTTTTGTAATTGACTGATTTTTCACTCAGCATAACGTCCTCTAAAGGAGTTCTGGTGGCATAGGGATTACAAGTCGAACTGCTAATCTCATGGTCAGCAGTTCAAAACTACCAGCAGTTTCATAGGGGGAAGATGAGACTTTCTGCTCCTGTAAAGATTTACAGCCTCGGAAATCCTATACAAGTGGCTGTGAGTTGGAACCGACTCCATGGCATATAACCACTACCACCACTACCAATGTCCTCCAGGTTCATCCATGTTGTGAGGTGTTTTGCAGATTCATCGTTATTCTTCAGTGTTGAGTCGTATTCCATTGTGTGTATGTACTGATGTTTGTTTAACCAATCTTCTTGATGAGCATTTAGGCTGTCCCCCTCTTTTTGCTGTTGTGCTTTAGTATACAGATACTGAGGGATCCTGTTATGACCCCTTTGGCTACTCTCTGCCTCTTGACTGGTGCATTTAATACATTTACATTCATTGTAATTATCAATAGATATCAATTGATTTTGTCATTTTGCTGTGGTGTGTGTGTGGTGCTGCTGGTTTTTTCTATGTAATTTTCTGCTTTGAGTTCATTTTGCTTGTGGGTTTCCTTTTCATTTCTGTTGTTTTTATGTTCAGTAAATCTTTGCAATTTTACTCTTTTTTATTTTGATATGTTGTTAAAGTGCCATCCAGTCGGT